GTGTGTGTGTGTGTGTGTGTGTGTGTGTGTGTGTGTGTGTGTGTGTATTTAATTAACATGACTAACTTCCCAGTATCACTCTCATTCCTGCTGTTGTTTCTGTACAGAACTTTCTCAGTAAGAAAATAGGCTGGAAATGTTGTGGAAATGTTGTTTGCCACATCATATAAATATCTGGCTGTCTTTCAAGAGGACATGAACACACACACACACACACACACACACACACACACACACACACAGGTTAAGAGATGGTGTTTTATCTTGTGGAGCTCAAGTTTCAGAAGGCTCTGACCTGCCTGACCTAGAGCTGAACTCAGGGCTTCTAGAAGAGAAGTAGATATTTTTGATGGCCAAGTCACCTCTCCAGCCTTTGACTAAATTCCCGTTGCCACCTAAAATCTGGCTAAAACAATTGTTTCATTTTTACGATTTTCATTCTTCACTTGGCCAAAATGGGCAATGTCCCTAATATAAGTCACACACGTGTGGCTTTCTCACTGAAATGGCTCTAACTAGAGGTTGGCCAGAGGTCACTCATTCCATGAGAGTCTCTCCATGCATATCTTGGGCTTCCTTACAGTGTGACCATCTCAAGGTAGCAGGACTTCTGATAGAACCCTTCGCTTCAGTGAGAGACACAGAATGAGGATGAAAGCTATGTGTCCTTTTCAAAGCTAAGGATGGAACTAGCTACTCTAAGGCCAGCTCAGACTCAAAGCGGGGAAGGTGGAAAGCTCATGTGCAAGCAGTAGTGTATCATTCTGATGTGAGTGGTGCTGTCTATGTGCAAGGAGTAGAAGGCTTGGCTGTATCCAAACATGTAGGCCAGATGATACTCTGAGTAATCCATGACCAAAGGCCTGTCCCCAACCTCTGACAGGAATGAAGAAAGAAACTGCAGATGTTTAGCTGAAAGAAAAACAAAGTTCTCAGAAGTATAATACTTCAAATATCTAAAGGAACTTAAATAATAATGAGTAGAATTGTTCCCAATTTTTTAAGAATAATGAAAAACTTGGTTTCCAAGCTCTTCTGCTTCAGAAAATTTGAAAACCATAGACTTAGTTTTATAATCCTCCTTAAATAATGAAAACTATGGGAGGATTTATTTAAGTGGACTTGCAAAACTACAAGAAAGGTCTTTTTTTCTCTTTTTAATGGATTACTGTAAAATCACTAACAGTCAAGAGCATGTCAACATAGCCATGCCGACAATGGTTTATCAAAAGCTTTGCAAAATGTCACTGTTCCTGCAGCTAGACAGCAGCAAAATGCTGTCTTGAATGCCACACTGAAATTCCTTCCGTGACATCTCAGCAGAAAATGGCATAGCTAATGCATGTTTACTTTTAGCAATGAGGAAGTGTCCATCTTCCTTTGAACTAAGTTTATTCTTGAACATTTCTGGCTTCTGAAAAGTACAACTGAGCCAAAATTTAGCTTCGTGTCAACTGGATTTGTGGGCCATAGTCTTACTCCTTTGAGTCCATGGGAACAATTCTACTGCAGTTTAATCCTATTTTCAGGCTGGTGCCAAAACAAAATCAACAGGCAGAGAAGCTGCTCAAAGTGTTTCAGGCAACTAGAAAAAAGATTAGCTTGACCAGTGATCATATTGTGAATACACGCACACACACACACACACACACACACACACACACTCAAGCTCCTCCTTAAGTGTGTTAGAGTGCCCTCAGGTGTAAGTAGCAGTGTGCATGTTGGGATTTGCCAACTGGCAACAATTACTACTTTATTGTCAGTTCTTTATATGTCTGCTTCTTCTCACAAATGCTCACAGCAAATTCTCTTTGTAACATCTTCCCAAGAAGGCCCATCCTGAGTTTATTCTTTCTGCATACACATTTGCAGGCACCATACACCGTGAAGGGTATGTGGAGGGCAAAGCAGGCCAAGAGAAACATAACATTTGACTTCCCGGAGGAGACCTATTGTTCTTCATATAGGACGTGAGGAAACAATTTTTATTTCTGTAGTAAAAGAATAAAATCTAAGAATAAATTAAAACTAGGGCATGTAGTTCTCTTTCCGATTCAAATAGCAGGTCAAGTGAGGTCATCTTTAATGGCATTAGACATAAAAGTCGTATCTTTTAGATTTAAACCTTGAGACTCTACCTGGCAAATGAGAGCCAGTTTCATAAGTTCCTGAGGAATGCTGGATATTGTTTAACCTTTAGAAATCCTCCTATAGTCCCGCTTGAGCTAATTTCTGGACCTAACAATTATACCTTAAGGAATAACCTCTGGTCTCAGTCTGGCAAAATAAACTGCCCACACAAATAAGTGAAAATATGTGACTGAACTCATTCAACAGACACTCTAGAACTCTATCCAAAGGTCTTAATTATCTTAATAACCCCTTAAAGAAGAAAATCTGAGAATCTACTATGTCTATTAACCCTAAATTGAAGACACAGAAATCTACTAAATAGTATCTATGGAGTATCCAAATCTATGATCTGAACACAGCAGTGTGGCATGTGCTTTTTCCCCTTGACCACTTGGTTACTTTGCCTGACAGCAATCAGCAGACACAGCAGATGAAAAATAAGGCATTAAAAAGAAAAAGATATGACAGTGAGAAGACCAGAAAAAGCCAGTGGACAAAAAGGAAAGGTGTGTCATTTTATACAAAGGCAAGGAAGCCTTGTATGAAAACACAAACCCTTGTCACACCTTAGGGGTGACGTTTCAACTGGCCTTTGAAAGAAAGGAGGAAGTGAGACAGGCCGCTCTTTGGGAAAGTACGTAGACAGAAGGCATGAAGATCCAGAGGTAATATGCCAGTGTAACAGAATGAGAAATATTGGTGACTATAGCAACAAACAGACTTTGTGACTTTCCCGAAGAACTATTGGGTTTTTAGCTCTACTTGTTAAATGAGACCAGTAGGCCAGTATCTTTGTCTGTGTGAGCTACATTAAGAGAATAACTGAGGCTTGTTAATTTATGATGAACAGAAACATATTTCTGGATGCTAAGAATTCCAACACAAAACTGCTGGCCTACAAAGACAGCCTTCTTTCTCTATCATTACACGGCAGAAGGCAAGGGACTGAAACACACAAAAAAGGAGACAGGAGTCCCATGACAGCACCAATTCACAATGGAGGTCTCCAGGCACATCTTGAATGATTCTAATCACCTCTTAAATGTTCCACTTTTTTTTTTTTTTGAGACAGGGTGTAACTCTGTAGCCAAAGCTGATTTAGAACTCACTATGTAGCAAGCTAGCCTCAAATTCACACTAATTCTCCTGCCTCAGCATCCTGAATAATAGGATTTTAAGCATAAGCCATCATGTTCTACCTTTTAAAATGGTCAGAGTAGCAATTAAATTTTAACACAGATTTTAGAGCAGATAAACACCCAAACCATAGCAAACACCATTTCAGTATGTTTCAACAATAACTATAACCCTCCACCCGTAAGTTCTTAGTTTATAAAGTTGGTATTTTAAAGAAAAGAAATCAAACACTAAGCTGGCCAAACAAATAATACATGTGAAAGCATGTGATCCTCAGGCTTCATGTTCTTTGCATTTATCATGTTTTTAAACATTTTATTTATTTGTGTATGTATGTGTGTGAATGTGTGTGTGTTCAGTACACATGAACACACATGTGCTTATACCCACACTTATATAATACACATAAGGAGGTCATAGGACAACTTTCAGTAGCTAGTTCTCATCTTTCACGAAGTGGATCCTGGAGATCTAGCTAATCAAGGTCATCAGGTTTTGTAGAAGACTCCTTTACCTTCTGTCCTCCTACCCATACCCCCTTTTAAGTTCTCTTATTTTGCACATATGAAACCGACACCAGAGAGGAAAAGCAATTTCACCCAGAGGTGGTAACCAAGTTGATATGAATAAGCCAGGCTCTGGAGTTTAGACTACTTAGGTTTAAACATGGGGCCAATCACTTACTCTTCATGGGACCCCAGGCCAGGTTGCCATCTTTGAGGTCAAACTAAAAACCAAGCATAGCTGGGGAGTGACTGTGAAAACCTTTAGGAGCAGAAGTGTTCAGACAGTGGAGAAGCAGAACTAGTCAGTGTGTGCTGCTGTTATCATTGTTCCCAGGAATCCTTTCTTTCTCCCTGCCTGTATTATATCAGATACAAGCACGGCCTTCTTGTCAATCAGCTGGGCCAAGTGCTTGACGTAAATAAAGCTTTTTCTGGCCTTTATTCAGGTGCTACTGTAGTTCCCACTATTATAAGACTGATAAGCAGTGTTGATTTAAAAGAGAGAGAGAGAGAGAGAGAGAGAGAGAGAGAGAGAAAGACTGCTCTTTCTTGGAAATGTTTCTCTTGGATTTATACTTGAAACTGGTTGGATTCTCTGAGCTCTTGCAAGAACCAGAAGTAAATCAAAGAAGCAATTTATTCCTCTGAGCCAGATGTGACCTTGCATCCCATCAGCCAGCCCATTCTCCTGAAGGGCTGGGATGAGAAGCAGTGCCTGAGGATTTATTGGCACTTGATCATTAGCAAAGGGATGCTGAGCCTGGCACAGCCAACGCTTCAGCTTGGAGAAGGAGAGGGCTTGTGAATCTCTCCACCTTAAGGAAATTGTGATTTTCACCTTGTATTAGAGGGCCGTAAATTAAGGTGATAAAGTGCCAGGGAACTAAATGGGATCTAAACTCTGTTAAGGAAATTTTATGAATTTCACTCATGTTTCCTTCTGTCTTGCAATAGAAGGCTGACCATATTTCCCTGACCTCAGTAGATCAGTGTTTATAGGGGTCTTAGTAAAAGATGAGCCAGTCCTGTCGTTCTCAAATGAGGATACCTGGTCTAGCGGCACTGGTGTAGACTGAGGACTTGGAAGAATGGCAAGAGTTCAGATCTTAGCTCTTACCTCGGCAATCAGAGACTGCAGGGACGGGCTGAATAAATGATGTTTGGAGTCTTGCCAAATGATTCTGAGGCAAAATTGACTTTACTAGCCTAATCTCACATTGATGTTATCTGAATAAATTTTTTTTTTTAATAAAAGCATATCATGGCCTGCACGCCCACCTCTGTAAGTGCTTTCTGAGCAGCCTGGAGTGGAAGTGGAGTGGGATTTACAAGCCCCTACCTACCCACAACCGGAGTGAAACCATGCTTTGTTGTACGGTTACTTTCAGCATTGACTTTCTACTCACTGTACAGAGCAGCATACATGACAGTCAAGCATGTCTGTAGACACTAATGAGTGGCCCCCTGCAGGACAAAATTGTGTCCCACCCTCCTAAGTCTGCTAAGAAGCATAGGATTAGAACACCAGTTAAGTGTCTCAAAGCATCCAAGGCTGAGGACCACTGGTGTTATCCATCCCTTTTATCCTGTGGGGAGGTGGAGAAGGTGGGCTATTTTGATTTATGACTGATTTATTTATGTAGGCATAGGGATAAGCTTCCTGCCACTTCTCCATGCTATGAGGTCCTTGGGCCTCAGTGTTCTCACCTGTGAAAAGGCGAAAGAATACCTGCATTGTGGGATGGGGGTGACATTGATAAGTCAGAATCTACAGGATAGTTGTCCTCACTCATAGTTGTCGCTGGGAACACAATGGCAGGTGTACATTTTTTGTTCCTTGCTCTTTTTTTTTTTTTTTTTCTCTATTGGGTTAAGAACCATCAGAGCCACCAAACAAGTGTGTTTTCAGGAAACCTAGCCAGCCTCCTCATCAGAAAATTACAGTCCAAGCTCAGCATCTAAGAGGTCCAGGGGGGGAAACAAAGGTGCATGAGTGGAAATTTCAGAACAATCACAATTTCACATTGTCACCAATTGCTTCTTCTAGGTGATCCTTAAAAAGTAGGAAGGAAAGTGGAGAGTTCACAGCCCTTGCCACAGAGTTCACAGCCCTTGCCACACAGAAACCCTCTATGTGTGCAGAAACACCCTCATTCAATAAGTTTCTTGATAACAACCTGCTGGGTGTTTTTTGTTTTTGGAACCCCTGCTGTTCCATTAAGCTTGCATAGATAAACTTTCTTAATTTGACCTTTGAGCCCAGCCTTTACTGTATTCAGTCTTTGAAAAGTGGGTGGTTTATGAATTTTAGTATGCTTATCCTGTAATATTTGTCTAGTATCCACTTCTAAGTGAGTATATACCATGTGTGTCTTTCTGCTTCTGGGACACCTCACTCAGGATGATCTTTTTCTAGATCCCACCGTTTGCCTGCAAATTTCATGATTTTATTTGCTGAGTAGTATTCTATTGTGTAAATGTACCACGTTTTCTGTATCCATTCCTCCATTGAGGAACATCTGAGTTGTTTCCAGGTTCTGACTATTGCAAATAAAGCTGCTGTGAACATAGTTGCTGGCTATTTGACACCCCCATCTTGAGTGCAGGTCAAATGGAAGGGGAGGAGGAGCTCCCCTATCAGTGGACTTAGAGAGAGGCATATGAGATGAGGGAGGGAGGATGGGATTGGGAGGAAATGAGGGAGGGGGCTACAGCTGGGATACAACGTGAATAAACTGTAATTAATATAAAAAATGAAAATTTAATTAAAAAATTAAAATAAATAAAACTACTTCTCAAAAAATAAGTATAAATATGCATAAATATGTAAATACAAAAAAGAAGAAAAGAAAAGTGGGTGGTTTTCCTCCATTTTACAGTGGAGATAACTGAAGTTCAGAGAAATGAAGTGAAGTGAATGACCTAAGGTCACATAGAGCCAAGTCTATTTTGATGCCAAGGCTCCTGGTGTATCACTGACTGCATCTTTAAAGACGTATTCCGTCTTCTAAATGTTATCTGACCCATCTGAAAAACAGGCAAACATGCCGCTCCCCTTCCCCACTTGAAGTATCCTTTCATTTCTTCCCTCCACAACTCGCTACCAGCAGACATGACCCCTCACCACAAACGAGCCTTCTCAGTGTGAGTGGTATGAGAGCTCTCATCATCTTACATTTAACTGCTACACAGATTTAGAAAGGAATAAACACCACATCTTGGGGGCATCAGTTAGAGCAGCCGCTGACACCCACTCTTTCTGCACGAGCAGGTCTTGTACAGATGGAACAGGCAAAGCAGCACGTCTGTCATTGAGACAAACAAAACATCAGTGGAGCTTTCTTTACCTTTTGATGAAGATTACATCATAGAGATCAAGCCATTCAGTGATGGAGGAGACGGCAGCAGCAGCGAACAAATCCGAATCCCAAAGATATCAAGTAAGAACGCTTTTGTTTTTCTTGGCCTTGCCCCCTGCCTACTGTGCCATTCTCCCAGATGAGCCAAGGCTTCAAACAAATTGAGCCTGAAAAGAATCATAATTCAGATGAATGACAGGAGTATCTTTCAGTCCACAACTGATGTTTTCTGGTTGTGAGAAACTTCATGCAAAAAGCCCTTTGTCCAATTTTGATGGATTTAGTCAGTGACCAACCAAAATAGTAAATGAAGGCTGTCTCACATAAGTCACAACAGATTTTTTTTTTATATTGACCCATTTGTCTCCCAAGTACATAGGCCCGAAATTATTTATAGCCTGTAAAGTTAATAAGCAATGCCGTTAGGAAAAAGAGAGAAAAAGGCGTTGCTGTTATCATTACTGTTGTTTAAGACAGAGTCATACTATGTAACATGACTGGTCTGGAGCTTGCTGTGTAGACCAGGTGGGCCTTGCATTCACTGAGCTCCACCTGCCTCTAACTCCCCAGTGCAAGGATGTTCTAGCCAAAAAGTTCTTAACTAAGCCGTGATGTTTTATTCCCAGTAAACTAGTATAATTCAGTCTTGAGTTGGAAATATTTTAAAGATAATGTGTTAGATTTTGATTGAGTATATAATATAAAATCTACACATACATATGACTCCATATAGTCAATGGTCACCATTTCTAAGTGTTCATAAGTAGTATGTGAAAGTAGCTTTTTTTTGAGAAAATGCATTCTATTCTGTTTTTAAGCATTGTGTTTATAAATATCTCAACAGCACACTAATTTTTATAGCATGATTTTATTTATTTTAATAAAAAGAAAATTCATAGAGTCAGAAATCAAAATAGTGATTGGCAGAAGCAGGTGAGTGGAAAATGACCGTTTAATGAATGTTTGTGTGCTATTTGGCATTATTTTAAAAGTATCTAGAAAGAGCAATGCTATTTATACAGCATCTGAAAGAACTGCCAATAGATTTTGCACATTTTTTTTGGTCTTTGTTTTGCTTTGAATCTTGGTTTTTGTCTTTGTTTTGACAGGCAGGGTCTCACAAAGTAGCTCTGGTTGGCTTTGGGCTGCTTATGAAAAGGAAGATGTCTTCTAACTTGCAGAAATGCTTCTGCCTCTGCTTCCTACATGCCAGGATTATAGTAACCATACCTACCCAAATTATCTTCTCTACTTTACATGCTCCCTTTATTTATGGCATATTTTACCATGATAAAGAAAAGACTGGGTTTATATCCAAGTTGCTATTAGGTATCTAGATACATATTTTTCTGGCCTTTGCATTTGAGGTCTGGATATTAGAGGATCAGTGCAGGCTGGAATAATAAACTTTCAAGCTATCACTGGGAAGGTGGCATTTTAAACCAGGGATGATATCTTTAACAGTGAGGCCCTACTTTTAGTGCTAGAGTAAGTCTTTGCTAGCTATCCATCATTTTATTTTTTAAAGAAGAAAAAGGCTATTATATAATACAGAGAGGAAATGAGAGCAAAGTAGCCATGGAGCAATTTTAATGGCTTCTGTGAAATTTCTCAATTCAGAAGAATAAAGAGCTCCCTCGTCATTTCACCATTTTCTGAATTGCCTATCCTTTAGGAAGGATTCAATAGGTACTTGTCTGTAGTTCAAGAATAGTAAGGAGTTCAGTGGGAAACTGAGGCAAAAAGCCACACCCCAGAGACGAAGTTCATACTTACATAAACACTAATATACATACCTGTATCTGTATGCATACACCAGTACATATGTAAATATATGTGTATATATTTATATGTGCATAAAATATTTTTGAATATTATATAATATATATTTATGGTTAATAGACTTATATGCCACTGAACTGTATTCTGTTTGGTTGTTTGTCTCACTAAGTAACCATGGCTGGCCTTGAACTAACTATGTAGATGAGGTTATCACCAAACAAAGGGTGTGACTTGCTGTGAGGGAGCCAACTCTACAGTGAGCTGTGGCTATAATCTCCAGTCCACAACAACACACGATTGGGATTTGTTTATCTCACTTTGCTTAAATCTTACTACAAACTTCTTATCATTACAAAGATTGTTCTTTTCCTCACTGGTGATGCTTGGTCTTATTTATTATAAAAACATATTTCTTGGCTTGTTAATAAAGATATGAGTGTTAGCAGAGCATAATATCTTCCTTTAAGAGACTTCCATTCTGTCAGTTGGAGAAATCAAACAGCCTTTAAAAACAGAAACAAAACAAAACAAAAAAACAGACTTACAATGGAAAAGCTTTTATTATAAAAAAATTTACAACACATATGAAAAAGCTTGTTTAAAATGTAATTATTTAGTCTGAGCAAAGAGGTACGTTTAGACAAACATGGTTTAGATTCCCAAGCCAGTCGTTAATTTAGCTAGACAATTTTAGACAAGTTAGTTACCTCATCTCTGGGGAGCCCAATCTCCTAATCTGATGAAAGAAACAGCCACAGTATCTGTCCATAGAGGGCGCTGTAAGTGCTGAGTGTAACTATGCAGCACAGAAGTGGAATCGAAAGGAAGTATGAGTTTTCATATTGTTAGATCATGGACTTAGCAACCTTTATCAGGCATACTGCTTGCAATATTTGTCACATTGGATATGGACATCCTCAATTTATAAAACTCCAAAAAGAGCAAGCAAGATGATCCCTGACCTGCTCCCAAGCCCATAGACAGGTCATCATGCAACTGAAGTTAATTATTGAGAGAGAATCATGTACATAGGGCTGGAAAGAAAGCTCAGTAAAGTGCCTGCCTTGTAAGCTGGGGAATTTGAATATGACCCCTAGCCCATGTTTAAAAAGCAAGCTAGATACAGCTAGATATTACCCTTGTAATCCAAGCACTGGAGAGCTAGAGACAGGATGATCCCTTGGTGAGTTCCAGGCCAGTAAGAGACCCAGCCTCAAGAACACAAGGTGGATGGCACCCATTTAAGTAGCTGACAGTGTCCTCTCACTTTCATATTCATTCCTATGTGTGTGCACACATACCTGAGCACATAAGGGTTTCTGCACAACATACATGCTCATTAAAAATAAAATAGAGAGCCAGACAATGGACAAATAGACAGAATGGTTTCTGTAGAAGCCAGTCAGCCATATTGTGTTGGTAAGCCCTGTAATAGTGCTTTTCTTTCTATACAGGATGTGGTCTTTATGAATGAATTTGTTCTCTCTTTTCAGATTCCTATGCAAGAGGATCTGGGGCTTCTACCTCCAATGCGTGCACACTGTCAGCCATCAGCACAATAATGATATCTCTCACAGCCAGGTCTAGTTTATGACAAAAGTTATCTAAAGGACTTGCTATTTATAATATAAGCAACATTTAGCTAGTTGTTTTGAAGACGCCCAGTACTAAGTAATATTGTTGTTCAAGTACATCTTATTACTGGAAAAAAAATGTTTTTGCTTCGTTAGGAATGCCATTACACAGTACTTCCTCAAAGCAAATCTAGCTTTGTCTGAAGTTTCTTTGGAAACTCTGCAATGCACTGAAGACATCTGTAATATGATGTTACCAAAGCAGTTTACATATGTCCTTATATGCATATTTTTATTATATATTTAGTGTTTTATAGAATTTTTTAAAGTTAACATATAATGTAGATATTGGTTTTTGTTCCTCTGCTGTAAAATGCTCTGGGCAACACAACCACACAATTATGATTTGAGAAGGTTTCCTTTAAGGACAGAGTTTGAAACTCAGCTCAGTAAATGAATTGCAAAATGACTTGTACAGTTTTACAAGGATCTAGTGGCAAAACAGCTAGATACTGGGTCTGTAGCTCAAGGTTGCTGTATATAAATTATCCCTTGAATGGTTAATGCATTTCGAGTCCCTTTGACATATGTGATATGTTCTCCTGCCCTGTTGTGAATTTTGTTGTTCAACACAACTTGAGATGGTTTCAGGAACTACAGATCTCAAAAGCTGAACTTCCCAGCCCAAGAGGCACCTCGTGCAATCCTCCAATCCCTGAACTTAGCATCATTGGGTAAGACTTTATTTGAGCATCGTCTTTGTAGTAGCGTATCGTAGACATTGAATTTGAAGTTACATATCCTGTAGTAACATAGACAAAAAGTTACTATAGTCAACCGAGTCTTTCATGGCATTAAAGGTAATTTCACTCTTTAGACATATCTGTTTTGAATGTAAATTTTTTAATAAGCAATTCTGTCAATGGATTTATAATTTCAAAATTTCTATAGATAACATGTGTAACTGTAATGATAGAGCCCTCCTTTTGAATGACAATAACATAATGTAATTTGAAATTTTTTCCTATTTCAGCAAATAGCTGCTGCAAAGAATTTTACATATGATTCTATAAACTATCAGTAGTACAAATGTATTGTATCTTGATGTCTCTCCTGTTTTGCAGTAGCTAGTCTGGTTGCTTTATAAGCTTTACATTATAATCTTAAAGTCATACAATGAAAGATGGCAATATTGACACAATAATATTCTTATGGAATATAACTCTTTGTTATGATTGGGGATGTTTTGTAAGCTGACAAGGGTAGACTATAGAAGGCAAGGAGATTTTTACAAAGCTTTTCACATACAAACTCATAGACACCTTTTTCTTCTTTCCTGGAGAGCTCACGATTGCCTGTAATTTGTCGTTTTTGCTTACACATAACATAGCTTTTCCAATCTGCTAATCATATTCATCCAATAAAGACATTATCAGGATTCCATTTGTGTAAAAAATTAGGATGGTAACAGGGAAAATATTGTCAGTATTTCAGCTGTGTTCTTTTCTTAGTCTGATATGGCTTACTTCTATGTTAAAATATGATTTAAAATCACATGCAAAAAAATCAACAAAATAATGAATGAAAAACACCTGATACCCCAGGTAGCTCCCAACCCCAGTGTAAATGCTATCTACCAGTGATCTAGCATATGTAATCTTTTTTAAAGATATTGTTAATAAATATTCTGTCATTTGTAAAGATATCTGCCTTCTGGAAGCATTATTCCTGCCTGTCAGGGAATTTGTTAGCTTGCCCTGTGCTTTGTTACAACTTGGGATCATAGGGGGACTCAAAAGTCTCTAGATCTGGCCCCAAATTAGGTGAACCAATTCCAAAGGTGACTTTGGAATTGACAACCCTGAAGACACCATTTTAGATCCTCCTTGGAAACAGAGAGGATCAAAATCAAGTAACCAATGTCCTGACACTGAGACTAGAATATTTTTTTTTTCTTGGCTAGCCAAGATTTTGTATATTTGAACTAAGTGTATCTGGTATTTCAAAACCCTTAATTAAACATTGCCGAAATTATAAAATCTATATATAAACTTAAGCATGTAAATCCCTTCTTAGTCTAAAATCCCCTACTCCTATATCCAGCTGCACTGAGCCCTACTTGGTCCCTGAACACTGCTTGTTTTTGGTCTCACCTCTGTGCCTTTAGGTCTCATGGCTGTTCCTCCTGGAAATGTTCCCCTCCCTCTCCCGCCCAAATGTCCACTGTCCTAGGGCATGCCCAACACTCCAGCTCATCTGTGAGGTAGTCCCACATGCCTGTCCTTGTGCTGTCCTCCCTCTGAATTTGCTGCATCCCTTCATTTAGTATTTCATAGGGTACTACTTTTGAAAATATCTTGTACTGTTTATCTTGCATTTGAGCCCAACTCCTGTATTGTTACTGACTTTTCCTTGTATGTATGCCTTGTCTTCCCAACTAGATTGTAAGCTCCTTGAGGGCAGGGACTTTGATCTTCTCTTCCGTGTACTCTCCATAGTGCCTAGCACAGTGCCTTGCAATAAATACTCATTGATGAATTGTTTGAAGGGGTCTTTGAAGTAGCATTTTGCATCAGTTGCCCGCCTGTGTGCTATGTAGAAAAGCAAGCGGGGAGGACTGTCTAGTATTTCTGTGATGCTCTGGAAATTGGCAGCGGCTTCTAGTGTTATGCTTTCATGACCTTTTTTCATCTTTCAGTCTTGTCATGTGATAGTGACACCCTGAGTTAGCTGGGGCCAACTGGACTGAAGAGTTTAGCAAGTGCCATGTTGGTGCCTTCACCAAAATTTGTTGGCTTTGGGAGGTTTTGTGGGTTGGGGCTACTGTTTAAGAGCAACAATAACACCTCTCCTAACTGAACCAAGCAGAGGGGACTAATTAACATCTCACAGGGTCATCACAGGAGCCCAGGAAATACCAAAGGTGCAAGCTTTGATGACCAGTTTGATAACCGGCTACTCTCAGGAGCACAGAAACCTTGCAAAGTCTTTTTGTATATGGTTTGAAGGATAAAGCGATTGTGTTTCTGGGTATGATGCCATTATTCTGCTCAATGTGAAAACTTAATAAGTATCTGATCAATTTGTGGAACATACAAGCTGATCATCTGCTCACACCAAACCTTCACTCAAAGGGACAGTGTATTAATTTGAAAGCAGAATGATGTTTATAAAAGTGAGTGAATAGGTCTTTGGAATCTGTAAGCAATAGACTTCCTCTGTGTAGCCAACTAAAGGAACTTTCAAGCACTAACTCCTAGCCCACTACGAAAATTTGCTTTCTTTATTTAGCCTTTTAAAGTTCTTTTGTGTGTCACCCACCTGTGATTTCACTGTATAAAAGGATATTCTATCCTGACAGCTAATTGAAGCCCATCAGAGTAACTAGCTTTTACTGAGCTAACAAGCTGTTTATACAAAGTAGCACCTTTCCATGTGGGTGGAATAGTGCGCAATAAGCTTTGATTTTAAGGTAAGCACTGAAGTTATCCAGCCAATAACATGGGAGTTGCCATGAGCTTTTGTCTTGGAACAGAATGATTGTGGCTATTTCACAACTAGGAGACTATTAACATCCTTGTTAACTTTTTACAAACTCTTACCTACCAATATGCTCAAGGAACATTGCCTATACAAGCAGCTCATAATAAACTGCTAACTGTCATGAAATTGATGTAATATCAACTAACAAGTGATGTGTGTGTGTGTGTGTGTGTGTGTGTGTGCCAAGTTGTCGCTCCTTTTCCCTTCCATTTTACATCAACTTTCAAGGCTTGAGTGTATTTTCCTGTTGTTAAAATTGGTACTGGGTTCTCACTGAAAATGTGGTCAGCTACAGTGACTTGGAATACAGGTTCTTAAAATTAAGGAGTTCTAGTCAAATAGACATACAGATATTATTCCATCACAAAATGCCAGTCACTAAAAACTCACAAAGGTGGCTTAAGCCAAAAGCTAATGACATGTGCTGTAGATTCTATCAATCTGGGGTACATTCTGAAAAATGCCACTTTTATTTTTGCTTATTTTTTCTCATTTATTTATTTTATTCACTTTACACCCTTGTAGCCCCTTCCCTCAGCCCCCCCCCACAGTCCCACCCTCTCCACCTCCTCCCTCCCCTATTCCCTCTTCTTTTTCTCAGAAAAGGGGAGCTCCCTTTCCCATCCACCATACCTCATCAAGTTGTATCAGGACTGAACATGTCTTGTTCCCCTGTGGCCTTTCAAGGCAGTCCCACCAGTGGAAAGTGATCTAAAAGCTGGCAAGTGAGTCCCTGTTTGATGTAATCCCCATTTCCCTTACTTGAGTACCCACTTGAAGCCTAAGCTGCCCATCAACTACATTGTTATAAGGGGCTTAGGTCCAGTTCATGCATGGTCCTTGGTTGAGGCTTCAGTCTCAGCAAACCCCTCTGGGCCCTGGTTAGTTGGCTCTGTTTTTTTTTTTTTTTTGTTTTTGTTTTTTTTTGTTGTTGTTGTTTTCCTGGAGCTTCTGTCACTTCTGGGTTCTTTTCTCTTTCATCCCACTTTTCCACAAGACTCTCTACACATCTACCAATGTTTGGCTATGAGTCTTAGAATCTGTTTTGAGGTGCTGCTGGGTAGAGCCTCCCAGAGGACAACTCTGACAGGCTCCTGTCTGCAAGCTGAGCACAGTATCATTCATAGTGTCAGGGGTTGGCACTCCCCAATAGGGTGGGTCTTTGGTTGCAATGCCGGTTCTTACTTAGGATAATCTATAGGATGTTCTAAATGTACAGCTCTCCAAACATTAGTCATTATTTTTATAAATTAACTATTGTATCTGTCCAGGGACATAACAAAAACTGTAATATTTAATCATCTTACTACAGTAGAGTATAAACTAACACTAAATATCAATATTAATGTTTATATAAAATGAAGTAGGCAGTAGGTGCCTCACTCAGATGCCTGGTTTTCCACAAAATTGGCTTCAGTCTCCCCACATTGTACTAAACTGTCCTTTTTATCCTAGGGCACATGTTCCTGACAGGCTTTCCTTTGCAGCTGGTATTTAAATCATTTCATTTGTCAGTTGAGAAGCATTAGCTGTGGCTATTTCCTGTGATTTCCAAGCCTTCTGCCAAAGGATGATCACTCTATGCAAAGCAGGCTTCCCAATGTGTGAGCAGAACCCTTTGAACTTTGTGCTAAATGGGCCATGCAGATTAAACGCTCGAATTCCACAACTCAAGTGTAAAAGCGCAATACTCAGCAGAGTTCACAGTTCGAACAAAACTGGCCTC